TTGCTCCATAAATCCCTCCGGTTCGGTTGTTTTCTGGACATAATGAGCAGTTTGCTTTTTTTTTTTGGACATGCAGCAGAAAAGTTGAGCTTTAAGTTGATAACTGAAGTGATTATAAGTCGCATCTGAGACTTTAAAAATCACTTAACCACTCACAAAAATACTTATTGTGATGTTTTTCTCATATAAACGATAAAAATAGTTTTTAATATTCTGTGATCTTGTCTCAGGTCAGTCCTGGAAGGCCCTGAGCTCCACCGACAAGCGCCCCTTTGTGGAGGAAGCAGAGCGCCTCCGTGTCCAGCACCTCCAGGATCACCCCAACTACAAGTACAGGCCTCGCCGCAAGAAGACCACCAAGAAACTGAAGCGGGTTGAACCGGGGCTCCTGCTGCACAGCCTGGCCCAGGGAGGGGCGCCGGGCCTGGGCTTAGGACCTGCCTTGGGTGCAGAAAGCCTCTCTGGAGGTTCTGCCTACATCCACCACCACCACCACCACCGTCACCACCATCCCCACCACCTGCTGCCGTCTCTGGGCCACTTCAGGGACCTCCAGGCCCCAGGACCCCCAGACTTGGAGACCTACGGCCTGCCCACTCCGGAGATGTCCCCTCTGGACGTTCTGGAGGACGGAGCTGGAGAGTCGGTGTTTTTCCCTCAGCACATGCAAGAGGAGGCAGGGATGGGAGGTTGGAGCTACCACCACCAGCACCAGCAGCACCAGCAGCAGCAGCAGCTCCACCACCCAAACCAGCACTACGGCCACCACTACCACAGCGCTGCACCCTGCCAGGGCTCAGCCATGACTTTAGCCCTGAATCCCAGTCCTGGCAGAAGCTCCAGACTTGACTCTCGAATGAGCTCCGTCGAGTCCAAGCTAAACCTCGCCTCCAGTCACCAGGTCTCCTTGAGGAGTCCCGTCAGGTCTCTCCCCGACTCCCCCGTTTCCTACCAGCAGCCCCCCGTCAGCCTCCCGGAGCCGATCAAATGCCACCAAACCTCCCTGAACTCGGCCCCCGTCGCCTACTTCAACCAAACGTACGCCTCGAACTCCAGCCACTTCGCTCCGTCTCATCTGGGGCAGCTTTCGCCTCCTCCTGAAGCGTCCCCGTCCTCCTGCTCCTCCGTCCCGCCTCCGTCCGCCTTCCTTCCCTCCATGCACTTGGACCAGTCGAGTCCAGAACCCTCCGGACATTTGGGGTCTTCCGCTGCTGAATTCTGGTCCGAAGTGGACAGGCACGAATTCGACCAGTACGTAAACGTCGGCAGGAATCGAGAGGAGGCTTACGGAGCGGCTGGAGGATGTGGATCTAAAGTCCTCGGTAGCATCATCAGCAGGGAGGTCGGCGGTCTGATGAGTGACGACGGCAGCAGCCCTTTGATATCTGCTCTATCTGACGCCAGCAGCGCCGTCTATTACAGCGCCTGCATCACCGGATAAACTCAGATGTGCCTCCTGGTGCTTCTTGTTGGTTTTGGCTCATACTTCTTTCTTATGTCTCACTAAATTGAAATGATTTTCTAAATGCGATGAAGAATAAATGCAAATGAGGAGAAAAAACTGGAATAAAAATGACACATAAATCCAAACAGTCAGTGCCTGTTTTACATTAATAAATACATCCTTGGTCACAAACAGCTTTGACTTGAACTTGGGAAGTTGGTTATTTATAACCTGCATTGATTATTTGTAGGATTTATTGGATGTGATTGGTACATTAGCAGATTTTGGCGCCTTTTTAGAAGCACCAAGGTTTGCGTTTTGCAGCAAAATTAGCCACCCCAAAGAGAAAACACCATTTCAGCTGCATCCCTGTTGGTCCAAATCAACACTACAAACAACAATGATCTCTCAAAAATATGTGAAAACTAGAATTAAACTCAAGGATATCTTGCTACGATGATGTTTTTTGCTGGATCTTGGCGTTAGCATCACGTAGCGCTAAATAAAATAGAAGTTTTGATCAAGAGCTGGATGCACTGATGGCCTGAACTGTACAAACTGTGCGATTCAGGACATCAGAAAGTTTTTACCAGCCTCAGATTTTAACCCCGTTTTTGATGTTTCATCTCAGGACCCGACAAATACTCGTCTCCTTCATGATGTTCTTGTAGAAAGAAAAGCCTCCACATGTATCTCAGCCGTCAGCAGTAACCCAGATCAGACCGCTGATGTCTTCCACAAACTACCAGGATGTTTTACAGGCCGACTCGGGTTTATTCTGGCCTCCATACATGCCATTCGGTCCACCACGGGGCCCTCGTGTCGAACTCCACACCACAATCTGCAGGTTTTAAGTTGCTCTGCGTCTTGCCAAACACGAATATGCTGATAATTCAAAGATTATTCTTTGGAAAACCAGCGTGGTGGTGTTGTTTTTTATCCACTTTAACTGTCTAAACTGAAAAGGATTTGCTCTACAAGCAGCAGGTCTAAATCCCTGCAAGTAAAATCATGAAAACATCTTAATTTATATGTAAGTTCACACATTCATTTGTCTGTTCACACGCTTGGTGTTGTGATTTGGTTTGAATGAAGCTGTTTACTGTAAATAATGATGCTTCTTGACGTTACGTGAAGGAGAAACTGAGACTATGAAATGTTCTCTTTGCACTGGGCTGAGCTGTATAGAAGGACTTATTGTTTAAAGAAAATGTCCACATTTTGCTTTTTTGTGCAGAAAGGATTGTGTTGTTTGATAGAGTCGTATTTTTTCTTCACAGCGCCGGGAGGCAGTTAGCAATTAGCCTAGCTTAGCATGAGGACTTCAGACTTCAAATCCACCAATCAGCACCTCTGATAATTTATCGCAGAGGGAGTCATGCGGCGCAACAACTGCTCCACAAACCACAAATTGTCTGTTTTTACTTTTCTGTTTGTGTCTCGCTTGAATGATTGGGACACGAGATGTTTGAATCGGTCGGGGAATCACCTCCCGACCCGTCATCATCCCCAAACCAGAGGTATAAAAGTGTTAAATGATCCCTTTAAGGAAGATAAATCTATCCAAGCTCTGCGTCTCCGCCGTTTTTTTCTTTCTTCGCCGTTCATCCAAAAATGTGTTACGAATCAAAGTGAATCTGTAATTTGCAAAGATCTCTTGTGGACGTCTTTGGGTTCGAGCTAACGGATGACTTTCCCTCCTCCTCCTCCTCCTCCCGCGCCAATGCTGGAAATTAAAACGAAAATTTGCGGTTTTGTTTGTGCTGAGAAGTCAACAAGTTGCAGCCACCGTAGGATCAGTGTGTGTGTGTGTTTACGCAGCATCCATCCCGTAATAGTTTTGTATACAGCGGAGGCAAAAACCAGAAGTTTCCCTTCAAAGATTTATCCTGCATCTGGTCTTCATCAGGCCTAAAGACAATGCTTCTCCGTCCCCTCGTTTCTTTTTTTTTTTTTTTGAAACAGCAGAACAAAAATCGAGCATCTCGTACAGTGGAACCGGTTCTATTTACCACACGGCGGTAGATTTTTCCAATAATTCCTCCGGAGGACGCGGCCGCAGAGGAGCAGCAGTTCAAGCAAAGTATTAAAAAAATCCTCCTCCATCTGCATTTGACATTCTTTTGTGTTGACACCAGAGTCTTGTTTCCACTTTAATTTACTGTGACGCACAGAAACATCAGAGAGGACGGCAGGCGTTGTTGTTTTTTTGTTTGCTTTTTCCTCGTCTTTGGAGCCGTGCAATAACTCTGCAGCTTTTGGTAATAATTATCTAAAGGGGGGAAAAAAAAAAAAGAAACACCCGAGATTTTGGGATTAAAACAAAGGACGGTTTCTCAGCAGTCGTAAAATATTAAAAGCAGGGTTTTCCCAGAAACGTCGCTGCGATGGCAGAGATTATGTTTATGTTTTTTCTAAAGTGTAGAAAATGGTTTTGTTTGTATATTTGAAAAAACTGTAAATGGGTCGATTTTATATCATAATTTTACAAAATAAAGACTCTTCCTCAGATTGAGCTCCAGATTTCTGAGTCATCTCCCCTTTTGCTGCTTTAAATTAACCAAAAAAAAAAACCAAATTGTTAAAATACCTGCACATTCAGGTCTGCACATTGTCATCTGATGAAAACAACTCATTCGGTTTTGCTAACGAGAAACCAAAACGATCAAATTGCCACCGGTTTGGTTTATTTATCAGTGAATTTCATTCTCACAGCACCTCATAAAGGCCGATTTTTAAGCTCAAGACATGAAAAGTTTCCCGTTTGGTTCAGTTTAATCTGAAACGTTTCCATCAGATTCAACAGACGTGATGGAAAATGAGAAACGTGGCCTGAAAGCGAGCCGGCGTGAGTCAGGACCTGAACGCCGGTCGTCAGACGTCTCCACCCAGTCAGCACTCGGCTTTCCACTGCATCATTTTAAATGTCACGGCGCTTTTCTTTAACCCCGTTTTGATGGTGAAAGTGTGACATTAACTTTTATCGTTTCAGATCCTCGAGGTTTTAAAAGACAAACGTTAAATATTTGCAGTGTGACAGCAGCAAAGATTCCAGGAATGTTGTACAAAAATAGAAATAAATCAAAATATGCACGACTACTAGTTCTAAAAATAACATTATTTCACATATCAGTGGTGTGGCACGGATTACTGATGAAGAGAAATGAGGAGACTATTGGAGTTTATGTCAAAACAAAGATATTGCAGAGTGGCTTTAAAGTACAAAACATTCATAATTCACAGACTGTATTGATATTGTACCAGTGAGAGATATATATATATTTTTGTTTTGGTTCTATGTACATAAAATTGTGTACAAGTCGTCTGTGCATAATGTATATTTCTGCTGAAGGTTTTAAGTCTTGACATTTCTTTTAATACAGTGCACTGCTTCCATCTAAACTCGTCTAATTTGCTAAAACTGGGCTCTGAGTGGTTAAATTAAGCTGGATTTTTGTCCAAACAGGCTCCGGTCTGCAGCCACCAGTCAGATCTAGAAGCTAATGTCCTGATTCTGCACACATGTGGTCCTTTGGTTGGACTCAATTAGCCGGATGCATCTAAATTTTCCAGCAGTTTAGGTCACCAAACACCTTAATGTGGACCAGTTCTGGATTTTAAGAAAATCCCTCCATTAATTTAGACATTCGCTGTGCACTTGATGACATTTTAATCCAACAGTTCTTATATTTTAAGTATTCTGGTAGATTAATCGTAGCAGCTGGACTTGCTTGAGTTCCTTGAAGACGTTCCACCTCTCATCCAAGAGGCTTCATCAGCTCTGACTGACTAGTTAGGAGTTCCTGATATCCTGAAGGAGACATTAACACCTGAGTTTAGGTTTCAGTTGGTGGGTTTGTTGCTCCTCCCCCTCGTTATGTGACTCGTTAGTGCTCCTCCTGCCACAGTGGGGTTCATTAGGGTCCATTGTGTATTGAATAACCGTGACCTGGATGACTGAAAATCTTCACAGATATATTTTAAGTAGAGTTGGTCCAATTAGCTGCAATAATTACCTACAACTCATGCCGGATCCATCGACTAGTCTTCTACTGATCCACCAGTTTGGTTACATTAACTAATTCAGGTGTGATTTTCCAACAATTTAAGGGTAAAATCATCCGTCGGGTACTTTTACTGCATCGGTTTTCATGTTCCAGAGAGACTGCTGAATGCAGGACGAGGATCCAGCAGGAACCAACACATCATCATCATTATTCTACCCAACCCTGATTTCAGGCCCTTACAGCTTCACAACAACATTCCTGGGATTCTGAGTTACTGACACATCTGCTGCCACTGTTTCAGTCCAGTTTGGTCTTATTTTATTATTAACCCCCGAACGTCCACTTCCTGTTTTACTAAAGCTGACTAAAACCATAGACATGTTGAACTGGTTGCACTTTTACAGACAGTACTACATGTTAAGAGACTGCTCATATCAGATGAAGGTTTACGTGTTTTGAACTGTGGTTTCGTGCCTTTACAGAATATATATACAGAACATACAACATGTAATTTGACTGAGGATGGACTCATGTCATTCAAAGTGCAGCAGCATTTCCCACATTCAAACGGACTACATGAAGCCACATTCCTACTTTTTTTGCATCTGCAAGGGTCTGAAGCAAATTTCTTCATCTTCCTAAATCCACAGTGACAGTCTGGATTATACAAGAAAACAAATAGTGATGCGTTTGGTTCAGCTGTGTGTCGACAGTCGTTCTTAAAGTGGACGTTCAAGGTCATCACATTAAAAGTCTTTTGGCAGATAAAGCAAATTATGTTTTGTTTAATTCACTGGATATTCTCTCAGTCTATCGTCAGACACATTTAGGACGACTGTACGGAGCCCAATTTATGATTCCCAATAATCTACTGCCAATTTTGTCGTCTTCCCAGCTCTACGACGGTCTACAAAGTTAGTGCTTGTGAGGACGAATGCCTGTTTTGAGGAGAGACTTGCCATCATCCACACCTTTATAACTCCTCGTTTAAGAGCTTTAAAGTCAAAGATGCTGAACTTCTGAGGTGCTGAGACTTGTACTTGCTTTCCATCGACACTAAATTCTCCAGATATCTTGTGCTGCGTTGGCCCGAAGTTCTTGAAATGAAAGAGGACATCTGCACACCTCATGAATTATTAAATCTGTAACTAGCTGCTGTACTTTGCAGCGATAGCTTGTAAAGAAAACTCTCAGCTTTTCAGAAACACCCTGGTGGGTATTTCTATCTTCAAACTGGAACATACCTACATGGCAAACGACCACGGAGAACCTATTCAACACCTCACCGTGCCACCGTTTCCTATCGTACCTCGGTTACTACTTCATGCTCGTCCGTTGCCATGTTTACCAAGCAGCCAGCTGTGCGGTCAGATGGCGCCGTCCATCGTCCCATTTACAAAGCTGACTGTTTGTCCAACAGCGGTCAGGCTCATTGAAACAAATCTGAGCAGTAATTGATGATTCAGGGATCAGGAGCCGGGCTGAGGATGGACAGACTAGGTTGTATTTTTGAGCGTCCACTGTGGAAGCTGTCGGGCCTCGTGGCTGCAGGACTTCGGACTGAAACGAGGAAGACGATGGAAAAAGGGAGGGGTGGGAAAGAGAAGACGAGACGGAAAGACGACCACCGCAGTGCTAATCCTCTGTGATCTGCTCCGGTTCCGTCCTCTCCGGGTTCAGATCCGACGCTAAAAGACTTTGGCTCGGCGGGTCGACTTTCCCCCCGAAACAAACCGCTGACGGACTCAAAAGAAAACATTTGGAACAAGGAGGAACTGTTCTCTTATTCGCTCTCCTCTGACGGCCTGTTTTCTTCTTGATTCCCTCTCTGTCACTGTAATTTTCTTTTGTTTTTCTTTTGCTTTTCCTCACTTTCCCACGAGTTTGATTCCGTGTTTCATTCTCCCTCCGTCTCTTGTCACTCTTCTGTTCGTCCTTTCCTTTCTTTGTGTTCTTTTATCTCATTCGCTTCAGTTTCATCCAGATGTTTTCTTGTTTTTTGCTGTTTTCACTCCATCTTTCTGTCCTCTTTCTCAAATTTGGCTCCCATCTAATTAAATTTAATCCGTCCTTCATTTTTGTACAGTTTGCTTGTAGCGTTGCTCATTCAGTAACACCATATAGGCCTTAATAGTTGTTAAAAAGTCAAACAAATGCTGTATTTTTAGTAGAAAATATGGATCCATCCATGTATAAACACTTACAGGAAGCTTCTGTGGCTCCAACACCATCCTGGTTTGAAAATGTTTTGCTTTTCCCCCATTTTTATGGACCAGTATTACACATTTTTATTCTGCTGGAGCTATTTAATCACTTCTATCTACTGGAAACTGTTCTGACTGTGTCCTCACCAGGTCTCATGGCCGTGGGAGTTTAATTTCTGGAGATATTGAATCAGAAAAAAGTCATGAAAGTCTCAAAATTCAGCCAAAATATTTGAGAAAACTTCATTTTGGATCCCAAATAACTGATATGTAAATAAAATCCAAGATGGTGGAACAACATCGTTATCTGAAATGACTGACTCGTGGGGTTGTTTCTCTTTTATTCCTCTTCTCTGTCCCAC